GTGTGGAACTTTGATTCTCGAAAATCGTCGAATTCGATCGTTGTCGAAAGGAAAGGAATTTTTATCGAACAAATAATTAAATCTTACAATTGTGAGATTGTTCTCGAAAGAAGAAGAAAAAAAAAAAAGAAAAGAGAAGAAGAAAGAGGAGGAAGAGAGGGGAAATTTTATCAATTAATTTCGTCTTATTCGAGAGACGAAAGAAAGACGGAAATGATCGCGGGAGGGAAAAACGGAGAAACGGTCCCTCTCTGGTCGCAAGTTTTCGGATGGGCAGCGCTAAAAGCGAAAGCCAATCGGCAAATCTACACCCGGCATTCCCGCGCCGGCCAGGAATCCAATTTCCCAAATGCTTTAATTCGTTCAAAGGCTGCACACGACGGCGACGTGGAGGAGTGGCGCGTCCAAGCTTCACGGATGGACACGCGAGAGAGAATCCCCTTGTCGATCCGGTGCACACCGGTGTTTCCCTGGCAACCGTAAACAGCCGTGCCTGATATTCTACACCGTGCCATATCCAGGTAATCGAACCGTTTCGCGAGATACAACCTCACTCTCCACTCATTTCTCGTTCCGTATCTCTCGGATTAATTTTAACCGAAGAGAAATGAATTTGCGGGGATGAATCGAGGATCGAAAGGAAAATGTCGAATGGCTTCAATATCGAGGCGTAATTTTCGTAATGGAAAGGAATCTGTCCAAGTACCGATCGTGTTCGGAGAATTCTTCTTTCCTCGAGTCGGGAGGGGGAATCGATCACGAGGGAGGAGACGATTAAACGACGATCCACGTGAGGAAAATGAAGGAGAGGTCGAGGGTGGAGTAGCAATTTCTGGTATTAGCCGGGGGCTTCCAACGAATTAGAGGGAATGGGTTTCGCGAAATTCCTTTCTGCACACGGTCTTTTTATATGTACGCTCTGTTTTCGAACGAATTTATGCACAATGATACGCGTGTTTGTTTTAAAGATTCCACGACAAATGAATAATCGACGTGGCGATTAAAAGATTATTTTTCTCTAATCCTATATTAATTTAAAATTTGTTTTGTGTTATTTGTTAAAATATTTTAACAAATGACAGATCGGTTTATCTATTGATTTATTGATTATGATATGTACATATTTTTTTTTTTTTGTTTCTTTAATTTATTATTATTCCCATAGATAATAGATAATATTTATAGAATTTAATAACTATTTAATTTTCACTTCTCTTAAATTTTTCTTTGCTATTTTAATTCTCAATCAATACGTAGATATCTCCTTTACCGATTTTTTGACGATCGGTAAATCGCTCGACTCGCGTGTACATCGGTTCGACTGAGGCGCTTTCATCGACCAAGTTGGAACGGTAAATAACGAGTCAAGTTGGGGAACGATTATAATTTGGATTAATTAAATTAAAAATGATGATTTCATGCTTCTCGATTGCCAGTGATCAAAGAACACTCTCTTTTTTTATTTGATCGTTCATTCTTCGATTTGTCGTCACGTTTTCGCAGAATTCTCTTATTACTTTTTTTGCCGAATTATTTCACTCTGATCTGAATTTATTATGAATCAGGATTATCGATAAAATTCGCAACATTGAAGCTTACGATGCAATATTTCAAAAATGTTAATTTTGACGTTTTTAGAAGAGAATGCGTGGACGTGGAATAGAAGAACCATCCAGCGAAAGATTTAGTAACGTCTCCATTAAAGAGGCTTTCGATTTCCATAAATCGGTTCCCACGACGGGTCCCGTTCGTTCAGATTTTATGTACCGCCGTTCGACTAAATTTTCGACCGTAAATGGGCCGTTCGGCCAAAGATATTTTATATTGGCGACACCGTATCTCGCAAAACAGGGAACACCATGGATATTTTCCAAATTTTTATCATCCTTCCCTTCGCACGTGCTTTCAAATATTTTTCATCCATCACAACGGATCCTTCAACAATCTTCGTCTAATCCCTTGTTGACTCGACAAATGTGTGCTACATAATTGCTTCGTCGCTTATTTTTAAAAAGAAAAAAATCGATAATTATTTTTAATTGGCAGGCTTTGAAAACACGACATATCCCCAGAAATGCGATGAGATCCAATTTGAAAATCGTCCGATCTATCCTGATGATTTGATCATCGATTCTCGCGAGGAAAATAAAACATATCTTCGAAAGGAAAGACGCATCGAGCGTCCCCTCCAATATCGCACAGCATCTTCCTTAATATCATCGAAGAAGAAGAAACGGAAAAGGGACGATAATCGTCCGACCTTAATCCCGATATCGAACGTCTATCGAACAAGGAAAAGAAAATTTTGCCGATATCTCTTCCATTCCGCGGTACAATCGATACCAAAATATTCTATTCGCGTTCACGAGAGCACAGGATTCGGATTCGGAAAAGTGTATTGTATCCATAGCTCCGTATGGGCTCCGTTTTACGCGGATGGAACGTATTGAATCAACCAGCCGGAAGGAAACTCGGTTTCCATCGAAATATGCCACGAATTTAGGTTCCCGTCGATTCACCCTCGCCCCCCATCGACGATTCGCTTCTCTCAAAGGACTTCTCTCCAAAGACTTTTCGACAACCGTTGTTGATGAAATCGGTCATACACGGCTTTTTCACGGAATCGATCGCATCTCCGATCTTTTCTATGGTACACAGATGTTTATTAAAAAGAAAGAAAGAATCGAGAATACCGTCAACACTGTTGATGCCTTAATACAAATTTTCTTCCAAAAACAAGTAACAAAAATTTAATAAATTGCTCATATTGTTTTGTACACCGCCGTTTTCAATTTCGTCGCATTTCTTTATAAATCATTCCTCTATAATTCTTTTTACGTACGTATCGAAAAATTCGACACCGTCGCGAACGCGTTAATTTGAAAGGGAAAAGCATTCTTTTAAATTTTACACATTGCAGATTCAGTTTATACGTATAATTGGAAAAGACCAGCACGAAGAAATACCGAGATGAGATTTTTGAATACATCACACAGCGATTATTTATCCACATGTTCCATGATTTTCAAAGATTGTTAAAAAAAAGTTGTAACGAATTGATCGAGGCGGAATCTCTTGTTCCGTAGGGAGTAGGTAAATTTTAATTGGACCGATGTGTTTTCACAGGTGACCGGTTTCTTGGAGAATCGAGGCTATTCGATCGATGTGCTTGTTTGTTAGTTACGCGAGAAAAGTCACATTTGCGGGCAGATTCAACGCGATTTCTATTAAACACGGTCTGTTTACCTTTTGCACACGACAAATAGATAACCTCTGTTCGATACAGAATCGCCATTCGATGTACGCAACGTTAACCTCCCCCCCCCCCCATGATAAATGCGACTGCATCCGAACGAATTTGCTCGTTATACCGTCCATCGTTCCTTGTCCCTTTCTGTCGACGATTAGTTAAACTAACCGTTCGAATATAATCTTGTTATCGATGAGATTTTTGACAGCCTCGATCGTATCGGACTTTATTTAATTCCGTTGGTAGTTATTTTGATTATGAAAAGAAAAGAAATAAACGATCTTTCTCGATATCTTCTCTATCTTTAACTTTACTTATATATATATATATATATATATATATCGTTTAAATCTCGCGATTGTTTTTTTTGTTCAAGAATAGATTTATTTTATTGAATTCGAAAGTGTACAAATGGAACAATAAGTCAATGATTCATTTTATATCGTAAAATTGATGATTCAACTGCTCGTGTTTCATAAATTTTGATAATTATTGAAAATACGAGGAATAATATTGATCGATCGATTTAAAGATCAATATTTAATTTCATAATGTTGCGAAAACGTTTTAATCGAATTTGAAATTGACGATAAGATTTATAAAATTTCTTTGATATTTACATCATGATATATATTATCGTATTTTTGAAAAAGTTTTTTTTATAAAATATTGGATACTATTTTATGTTCATCTGTATAATATACGTGTATAGAAAATATCAATTAATAAAAAATAATAATTAATAGTATAATAATAAGAATTAATAAAAATAATATATATATATATATATATATATATATAGCGTATACAATCTGTTATAATCGATAAATCTTCGTACGATGTTACCTCGTCGACGGTTCGATGGCAACTGGCGCGTATCAATACGCTCTTATATATTTACGTTGCGCGATCGTTAATATTTGCGAAGAAACGAACGATTTTCTTAATTTTTCGAGTTTTAAATCGTTTAATAAATTATTTGACATATAAAAAATTTAAATTTGAATTGTACAAATTAACAAAATATTGTTAATAAATTGTAATTTTTTTTAAAAATTATATATAATTATATATTCTCTATTTTTACTTTATGTTTATATTCAAAGAATTTGTTAAAAATTGGTAAATATTACAAAATTTTATGTTAGTTTTTTTTAAGCATTTGATCTTAATATATTTCTATAATAATATAAAAAAAATTTATTATTTTTTTCGTTTTAAAAAGTAAGAGTGAGAAGTAAGGATGAAATAATAAATAAAAATAAATGTTTACATGTTTATTTTATATCAAAAATAGCATACAATAATGATTAATATCTTCTTTTTTAAATATGTATATTCTTTTTTAAATATAAAATAATACAATAAAAAATTGATTTTATATCTTTCTATTAATGTAATACGATGTAATGTCATGTCAATTTTGTCAATATTTAACAAACGAATCACTTATTTTGTGTTTCTTATGTAAAACTTGATTTACATTTACATTATATATAACAAATTTGTAATTTTTCCTAAATTACAATATAATATTATATATACGTAATACATAATTAAATTACATTACATACTACGAAATGAGAAGTTGATATAATTATAATTAATTGATGAATTATATATAATCTTCAAATACATCTATGTCATCTATCAATTATATATCTAGAAATGCTAATTTATAATATTAATTTATCTAACAATTAATTTATCTATTACACTATCTATTTGTCTTATATTTAAATATATCTAATTATATCTTTATATCTATTTTATTTTATTAATATTTAACAATCACGAATCAAAACACACCTGTTTTCTCTGTTTCTTACGAAACCAGGTTTACATTGGCATCCAATAAAACATTTCTGTAACAAAAAAAAATTGATACAAACGTTAATTATTAGCTCATGTGACAAATTTAAGAATGTTAAAAAATCTTAGTTTAGATTTAGTTTAGACTAACCATATTGCAAACAGGTGAACGAGCTTTCTCGCAGGTATCGACACATTCTGAGCCGCAACTTGTGAATTCTTCATTAAGGGGACATTCCTCGTTTGTACTCTGCGCGCTTCTATCAGGATATGCGCCTATACGATCGATCAGAGAGAAAATCAAATATTATTTAAACTATCGTGAAACGAGATACAAATTAAAATGAAACGATATTTTAAAAATATTTTAAAAAAAACTGTCTATCCATTAATAATACAACTATAGATTAAATGTTTGAAAGAAAATATTGAAAAGAAAAATGAAAACATGGGAATTTATAATTTTACTTAAAAATTAACTATAATAAAATTTTTAAATTATTAACATTATTATTTAAAATTCCAATATATTTCAATAAAACGAAAGTAAATAAAAAAAAAAGAGATAGAATATTTTAAATAAAAGACGTATATCGTTATGTTACTTACTACAACAACAAACCATAGCCACGATTAACAAAAGAAAAACTGTTATTCGAGTCATAATAACAAAATTGCGAACAAGAAACTTTCAAGTTTTACTTGAATTTTTGAATTGTGCATTGCTTTTATATCTCGAACTTTATCTTTTATCAAAAAAATTATAAGATAATGATAATGATAAAAATATATACATTTCGTTTAAGCGGCATTAATCTTGTATGAAATCATTGAAATGATATATCGCAAAAATATTTGTAAAATTATTTTATCTTTATCATTTATTTTCTTATTTTATTTTCATTAACATATTATTATTTAGAGTATTTAATTTAATTCTTTAATTTTAAGATTAAACATTTTTTTTAAACAAATTATTAAGAAAATAATCAAAATAACCTAATCGAATTATTATAATATTGCCACCGACTGAACACGAATAAGCAATATACATTGAAGGAAGTTTATATTGAAAATAAACAATGTCTATATCATACTTTTACTTCACTACTATTATTTAAACGAAGGATTATCGAGATTATTGGGAGTAATTCCAAAATATATAATACAATAATATAATAATAATATAATAATATAATACAAAACGAAATTTCAATCTATATATATATATATATAGAATAACGATTTCATTCGAATCGGCTATTTTATTTCGTGTTTACCGCATAATTTCGAAAAAAAATTCGAAAGAAAATGTAATATCCAAGTGCTACCTCTTTATTCGACGAAATCAATCGACGTACGAAAACAATCGTCAATACGTTGAGTTCGAGTTGAGAAGATCTCGAGGATCGATGTTACATTTTTTCTTTCTCTTTTAACAAATTATATCTTTTTTTTGACAAAATCGATTCGCAACCTTTGTTTCTCGTATCGTAATTTCGAATAATTTAATTTATAATAATCTTTTTCAAAATCATCGAATACAATTTGATCGAACACAAATTTGGTACTGGAACTGAAAAAAAAAATTGCATCATCTAATACCAATGTAATCACAGATTAATAACAAATTATTCCTATATACAACAACAAATTCGCAATAAAAATATCGCTTAAGAATCATTGATTTATATCATCCGACTAATTTAATCGGCATTACGTAATTCAAAGCATTAAAACTATGAATTTGGTAGCTTTACAGAAGAAGAAAGATCGATAGTGAATACAGAGGTTGGTAAATAACGAAAAGTTTATGTTGCGCAAATATCGGAAATTGTTATTACATGTGTTATAATCGTGACTTTGTTTTTTAATTTAATCTTCTTAAACGGAAAACGAATTATATCTTCGATTTGAATTTTTTATCAAAAACAAAATCATTGTAGAATCCGAAATATATACATATGAATGTAATGGATTATAACTAATTAATGATGATAAATTATTTGATAAGATACAAATACAATTAACTTGTTTCTTCTTTGTATTTGAAATTATTGGATTACTTTATCAATATTTATCGTTTATTATCTCTGTTCTCTGACTCTATTCCATAAAGAAGACCATATGAAGATCATAATCATAGTTTATAATTCGACGATCGATCATCGATATCTTTCCTTCGAAACGAGAATTTTTTTTTATATAATAAACGATGAATTATTGCAATCGAGTCGAAATGAGATACGAAACAGTGCGATTGAGAAGGAGATACAAAAATAATATATCGATCGCAAAAATCATTGAGCAATGAAACAAACGATATTTTATCGGCTAGCAAACATCGATCAGTCAAAAAATAGATATAATGACTTAATAACAAACAGATATATGTACACGAAAAGATGAACGTAGTAGATCAACGAGAGGAAGAAGCTGAGGGTAAAGGGACGTTCACATCGAGCAAATTTTCATCCGAACGATCGAGAGTCGTTCTTCGATTTATTTTGACATTTTATTTAGATTTATTTATTTTAGGTATTTTTAGGTATTTTTAAGTTTATCGCGAATGAGAAAGAAAAAAAAAGATGATCGATTCGGTTGTTCGAGAAAAATTTGTCTTGGTGCAAGCGTGGCATAACATCACTATATAAAGCTGAGAAGTTCGATATGTTAATCATAGTAGTTTCAGTCGTTGGTCGTTCGAAAAAGTCTCGAAATCAAATATGTCTCGAATCATCTTCATTTTGCTCGTCTCTATGGCGATTTTCTCCAGTAAGTAGCGTTTTTGATATCTTCAAATTTTCTGAGTTAAAAAGTTACGATTTCTTTTTTCTTTTTTTTTTTTATTGAATGAATCTTCATATATATGTAGTTATATACCTTCTATGCTTATCGATAAAAATACAGAATCAGATCAGTCATTTTTGGATATAATGAATTTATCGAATAATTTCAACGAGTTAATATTTAAAAATGAATATTGCATTGAATATTTGAGAAGAGCATTGAGAATAATCTCTCGGATAATCAACTCTCAATGTCAATTTGTACAAAAATACTTTGAAGGATAACTTTTATTCTCTAAGTATATTAGCATTCTTAGAGATACTCGTACACATCGAGCAATTTAATTTTTTTGTGCGAGGAAAGTAAATGGGAAAGTAAAATCTTGTCGACCGTTAAGAAGAAGTCTTACTCGTGAAAAAGATTATCGGTAAATCGAGTAGAGGAATATATTGTGATAAATAACGTGATGACTGCGTTTTTGAAGGTTCATTTGGCGAGGAGTGTGGACCAAACGAGGTGTTCAATACGTGTGGATCGGCGTGCGCACCCACATGTGCCGAACCAAAAACGCGTATTTGTACCATGGTTTGTAAAATATCGCATTTTTTTTCTATTACTTCTTTGTAAAAATTTTTAATTTTCCTTGGAATTTCTTCTGATTCAATGATATATCATATTTTTTCTTTATTCTTTTAGCAATGTCGTATCGGTTGTCAATGTCAGGAAGGATTCTTGAGAAATGGCGAAGGAGCATGCGTCCTTCCACAAAATTGTTAAAATTTCCTTCGCTTGATTGGAATTCACTGTTCGCTTTCTTCTCCTTTTCTTTCGCTTTCTTTGTCTTTTTGTTTTCGTTTGCTTTTCTATGTTATCTTTTCTAATTCAAAACAGTATATATACATGTATATATAAATAAATAATAAACTGTCGTTTCAAAAGCTTTATTCATTTTGTTAATTCATTTCTTATTCATCGTACGAAGTATCACACGAATTGAAAGAAACGTATATTCAAACGCGTTACATTATCGTGTACTCGATACACGTTTAACACGATAAACGGAAACACGAGTTAATATCTTTTGAAAATAAGTCGCGAGTATACGCAAAAATCTTCGAAAAGGATTACTGCAAATTTACATATCATATTCGCCTGACAAATCGTGTAAAATACGAGCGCGAATGTAAGAAAGAAAAGAAAGAGAAGAAATAAATAAAAACAAATTTGCACATTTAATAATTACATTTTATTTTTCTCGAACACTCCTATATTTGAAGAATAGCATTTACTTTAATTAATTCATATTGAAAAGATCTTAACAGTGTTTAGGTGAGACACACTTGTTTGCGGCATTCCTTACGAATCCTTTGATACAAGCGCAGCGAGGTTGACACACCTGATGAAACGATCAAATCGTATATTTAAAAATCGAACGAAATCGGGTATAGGATTTTTCACGGCACGTGTACAGGTAGTACGTGTACGACACCAACCTCGGGACATTCGATTCTTTCAACTCCACACCTTTGGTCGCAACCTCCGCATTCTTTAAATTGTTCGTTTTGTCCACAAGCGTTCACGTTGCTTACTAAATACATCGAGACAACACAAAGTTTGCGATTGAGCAATAAATGAACGACAATAAAAAGAATAAAAATTGATGCGAGACAAATGATAAATCTGAAAGGTGCAGAATATTCCGTTGGATGTTAAGCAAGTACTTACTACAGATATAAGCAACGACAAGGAGAACAAAGAGTATGGCACGGGACATTTTTGAACCAGGATATTCTATCACAGTTTTCGAGCGAGAATAATAAAAATATACTTTTTTGAAATTTGTGAAAAACGGGCAGACTTTATATTCGATTTATTCGGCCTTGTGAAAATTGTTGCTTTTATTTATTATTATTTTATCGTTTTTACTTGTCCATTTCGTATCGCGCTAATGATATCGGCTTAAAATATATAATTACACGTGCAATATTTAATGGAATATTTTACGTGTGACACGAGTATGACTCGCATGATCAATAGTTAGCCTTATTCGATTATTTTATAAAGAATTTAAGGAATGATTGTCGAAGAATCATAATCTTAATAATTGGAAATGTAAAATCTTGAAGTGTACCAAATTCATAATACAATACAAATTCAGATTTTTTAAAATTGTTAAAAAAATTTAAATCGATTTAAATATTGTGAATAAATGCATTGGACTTGTTTAATTTTTGCTAAATTAATTAATTTAATCGATAAGGTAACGTCTTTATTTCGATCGAATATCGAGTAACAATCGTAATTGTAAATAACAATAATAAACAATAGCAATTGTAAATAGAAAGTTAATTTCAAATTTTAGAATTTATTTTTGTTCATTTATCTTTACCATTTAAAAAAATAACTCATGAATTGTTTATTCCACGTTATCGTATATTAACATAAAAGAATAATTAACTATTTGATATTGGAATATTAACCGACATTTCTCAAAATAACCAATGAAACTAAAATTCTAACATCATTTTTCTTGATTTTAATAATTTATGTCAAATAATTGTTATCGAGAAATTAATTATCAAATAATTGTGAAACATTCAAGATTAGGGTTTTAATATCACTTCTTTCGAATGAGTAATATCCTATAATTCAAAAATTCGTGATTGTTCGATTCGAACAAATATTTTTATTGTTCGAATTTCAATATTGTGAATGCGTGTTTTAATCTAAATATCATGATGAATATTTAAAATATATATTCATATTGCAACAGATTAATTATATCGAAAATAATCGAAATAAAATTATACGTATTTAGCTATCAAGTAAATTATTTACCATTTATCTAATTATCTCTATTATTCGTTATTTTTAACAGCATCAAACGAAACACGATTAATCGCACGAATTTCAACAAATCTCGCCTCTTGTGGCAGAGATCACGACCTCTCCGTCTAGATTGTAGACTCGTTAGAAATCGCTACGTTATCTCAAAACGGTCGTTTTTCTTAAAATTACGTAATGACGAGAGACAAATATTTACGATCGAAAAATAATATTTAATACAATCGTATAAAATAATATTTTCCAAAATGTATCCATTATTATTCTATCTATAATATTTATATGATTTCAATAGTTACGAATATTATATACAAGATTTCTTATTTCCACTGTTATCGAATTATTAACATAATCAAATGAAATCAAGTGAGATTAATCTTCATAATTATTTACATACTTATAAAAAAGAATATTAACAGCTTCACATTATTAACGTCGTTAGAAGCATAAAAGAAAACGTATCGAAAAATTCAGGTTTTGTTATATGCAAAATACAAGTTTTTTAATTTTCTCAAAATTATACCAATTATATAATACCAATAATTATACCAATTATAGTCAATTTACACATGTATAATTATAATTATCTATAATGTCAGGGAATGTCAAATATCTATAAATAATACAACAAACAAATAAAAAGAAGAATAAAAAAATGGGAAAAAAGATAAGCGTTCCTTTTTCACTATTTCGATTTCGACGAGAGAATCAATTCGATTCTTCTCGTATCGATCCATCAATCGCGCGCGGCATTGTCAAGGCTGTGCAATTAGCGTGGTTCGAAAGGGGTGAAAAGGAGGGTGGTCGAAGACTGATTCGATTGGGAAATTTTAGAGTCGTGGGTCTCCACTTTGTCAGCGCAGCGATCAATCCAGCATCCTGGATATCACTCTCTCTCTCTCTCTCTCTCTCTCTCTCTCTGTCGTATCGGCGTTTGCTTTTACCTTAAATGCCATTTCGTTGTCGGTCGAGACAACGAGTTCAAAAATTTTCCTCTTCGTCGCGCTACGCGGATCCCTCTTTCTTCCACGTTTTATTCAACGAGACCTCCCCGACAATCGAATATCCGACAGTCAAAATGCTATTTATTATTGAGCACTCAGACTTTCTACGTTTCTTTCCCTCCTTCGAACGTTCAACCCCTCCGCTCGAATAATAATTCGTTTCTGCAGTCGAACGCCCCCTTTATGAAATTTATTACCTCGTTCAACCTTGCTTCTCTATTTTTCTTTCTACCTCATTTCTCTGGAAATTGACGAAACCTTAGAAATACCATTTGTAATTTTCTACAATAATTCGATCTTTAATCTCTGATAATTCTCTGATAACGCGAGCAATCCTCAAGTATGCAAATCGATTTAAAAATCTTTTCATCGTACAAAACTTTAATCCTTCGCTTCCACGATTCTTCATTGATGCAATCTTCGTAATTTTTTTATTCCCCGATTTGATTTTTTTATCCTTTTGGAAATATTATAATCCTTAATTTTTTATACTATAACCAAATATATTATCGTAAATCTTGTTACGATAAAAATTTGAAATTTGAAAATTTTAGATCTACCATCAATCCTAAATAAAAAAAGATATTGGTATTGGACGTAGAAGTTACAAATATCAAGAATTTAATTTAATCGATGAATTCGCCATCACCCGCCGATACTGTTTCCTCCCGGCGTCTATTTAGCGTTTTCATGGGATGGTGGCAAACGGGCCATAGAGAGGCCGGTTCCACGTCAACCAGCAGCCACTGACAGCGGGAAACTCGATTGGAAGTGCTCGAGTTACCCTTCTCTTGGCCGCCGTTTCCCTTCTTCCTTGCCACCCTTCGCTCTTTACCCCACTTTTCATCCCCCCTGTGCAACGTCACATCGCAGGAGGAGGCAAGCCGTGGCTCCTTTGTGCCCACCATTTTACCCCCATGGAACGACCCGTTCTGACACACTGACCCGATATTAACGCGTCCCTCCCATTTCGAATAATGCCAGTCTCCTCTATTCTTGCCGGCCAAATTCTTTTTCTAAACAAGTTTTTCTCGTGCCACGAGATCGCGTATCGAGATAGATCATTTTAGATTCCATCTCCTCCGGAGGAAATAGCCTTCGGTGTCGGAGATGATCTCTGATCTCACCGACGCGAAGTTGCGCTCGAAAATGATTATACGCGTCAATACCAATAATTATATTAATAGAAGCGTAATTTTTCTCAACTCTTAGATAATTTATATAATAGATATATATATGTATATATATATATAATAGATATTTCTAGATCTGTTTTTCCTTTTTATATTGGTTATATTTACATGTTTCTAAATTGTATAATAATTTCGAATCATCATACGTGTCTAATTTAAATAAGATTATAATATTTTCCTACGAAATGCAATTTTAATACTCTTATGGATCAAATCTTCTAAATTACGATAATTAGATGCTACCAGTTAAGTGCGAAGAAATTAATTTAACCCGGTACATAATTTAAATCGTCGTTTTAACACTCGAGCGATGTTTCCTTGTACTAATAGCCTTATCACAGATGATTGCCAGTACTTATCAAAAATGTATTTTTAATTTATTAATAACTTTAAAAGAAAAATTTTATCGAATGAAATAATCTAACTTTTAAAAATTACAGACAAGAAATAGATAACGCATTCATAGAAATAGAAATCATAATAATACGTATGAAATTACGAATTTCATTGAAAATTCTTAAGCATTTGCGTCACTATGTAGATGATTGTCATTATTGAATGACACAATGTCATTGTATCTTGAGTAATCCTTAATTATTCCTTATAAATTATTTTTCGAAGTATTTATAAGTGAATATCAAAAGGAAAAAGAAAAAGTATAAAAAAAAAGAGTATAGTATAGAATAACAGATAATTATAACGATGATTCTGAATTATTAACATTGTTTACGAGATTGAATAGGCTGACATTTATAAAAAAATTAAAAAAAATTTAAATTTAAAATTTAAAAAAAATTAAAAATTATGATTATGATTAATAAAATGCTGATAAAATTTAATAATAATGAAATGAAAATTTTATAGAATTTTGCAATCTTTGATTTTTAAAGATTTTTCTTTTATCGATAAAAATGAGATTTTGATGTGTAATTGATTTTTGTATTAATTAAAAATAATTAAATGGTGATATTGATCGGTACAGCGATTAATATTTCGTCTTTTCACTTTTTTGAGTTTTTGATTATTTGTTTTTGCTGACGTGTAATTGATTTCTTTGGCAATTTATAAATTGAATCATTTTTTAAAAAGTGATAAATTTAAATGAAATGAAGTTTGCTTAATTAATCTTTGCGATATTATGAATATTATGTAATATTTCTTGAAATAATATCCATCATGATCAAACTCATATATATACAAAATATTATATTAACACAATATAATAATAGCAATATAACAATAGCAATTCATTGTGAAATATCATTCAAGCGTTACGAATTATAATATTAAATTTAAAAAAGCATAAAAGCATAAAAATTTAATTTTAAAAGTTTCAGTTTAGAAAAAGATGATTCATGTGATCGTATTAATAATTTTAAATAAATAGAAGATAAGAGAATCACGCAATAGATATAGAATAGATTTTTTATTATTATTATTTTTTTATGTTGAATGTTATTTTTTTATGAAACTTTTATCTTTTTTTCACTCAAATACAAACTTTAATATTAAACTTTTATATCTTTAATATAATATATATATATCTTTAATATTATACCTTTAAATTAAGTTGGATGAAAAATAAAAAAGATCAATGTGTTTTATTTGCATTCGCTAAAAATCTGATTTGCGTTTCAGATGAAACGAAGAATCAGCGTGTCAATATTATGAATTTGCGCAATTCTGAATCAATTTTGACCCCCCTATACAGAATATCATGAGTTTTGATCATGATGAAATCGATATCGAATTAGAAAAAGAATTAAAAAAAAAAAAAAAATAGACATTATTACGAAATTCTCTATTTTTAGAGATACAACGATGTTACTGCAAAGATGGC